AAATATCATTTGTTATGCAGCTTGGCATAGATCTTAGTCTTGCTGCAGAGCTAAGTAGAAAATTCTGTTCCCTGCTGCTTAGATGTTAGGTTTGTAAGATCTTTGTTTCTTATTGTCTGTAAAGGTCTAATACGTCCTTGGTTAACACTGATGTGCTTATGTAGCATGAAACACACGTTCCTTAACTGATTCAGATTTTTGAAGAGACTCTGTACTAATTTATGTGCTGAAGAAATAATTCTGATACTTGGATACAGATCAAAATTTTCTTGTTACAAAGTTGATGGAAATAAACTTTAACCAAAATTTATACCAATTACATATTTGTATTACAGAGCTTGGCAATAATGTTTAACTTGGCTACATTTAATAAAAACTTAATGAGTAAATTTAATGTTACTGAATTTTTTTGTTTAAGAAACTTGGTCAGTGTATAATCAGGTTTTACGTAAACTTCGTGGAAAATCAGATTAATCTCATACAGATGATAAAAAAATTCTTTCAAAGGATCACTTTTACATGTTTGTGTGTAACAGGGCAAACTTAGTTGTGTTCTAACTGAAGTAAAGTTTTTCGTACTATCTGGTATGAAAGGATAGTGCCAGAGGTGAAGGATGGTGAACAATGAGCCAGGTGAGTTGTCAGATACAGATGGTAAAAAGCAGATTTCAGCTTTCTCTGAATTATTGCATTAGATGTATTTAGCTGTCATTCCAACAGAATGGTAAATTTAGCTGTAGCACAGTAATTGGCAATGAAGCTGACAACATTTGTTAAAGATTGCTGTCTTCTTTAAAGTAGGTTTGAATTAGACTATTTAGTGCAGGTGCTTTGAAACTGTGACTTATGATCTCTTTTATCCACTTACCCATTTAATCTATTAAAAAAATTAGTTGTTGGTTCAGAAGGTTTAACATAATGAATTGAAAGCCATTCTTTGTGTCCTACTGAAAAATTTGACTAGACCATTTTGTTCATATTCCTGGGAAATTTGAAACGGTTCAGAATGTGTTTTGTTTCGTGTTCATTCTGAATTTAGATTTCTGTTTTTGTCTGAGACTAATAGATCATTAAAATAGCTGCTTTTTCTTCACAGGCCTATGAAGAGTACACCAGCAAACTAGATGCTCTACAGCAGAGAGAACAGCAGTTATTGGAATCCATGGGGAATGGAACTGATTTCTCTGTCTCCAGTTCAGCTTCAACAGACACAGTTGCATCATCTTCCTCCTCTAGCCTCTCTGTAGCACCTTCATCCCTTTCGGTTTATCAAAACCCTGCTGATATGTCACGGAATAACCCCAAGTCTCCACAGAAGCCTATTGTTAGAGTCTTCCTGCCCAACAAGCAAAGGACTGTGGTGAGTCAGTTTCTATTCACATACTTGTAACCTCAATATTTCCTGTATCTCTCTCTCTCTGTATGCAAAAGTTCATTTAGGAGCTGAAAAAATACCTGTGTGGAGGTCAAAGAGGTAGCACAATCACTACTTGTGCTCTGCCACACTCTGTTGTTTTGATGTGTTGGATGTTTTCTAGAGGATTAACACAAAGATGTCCATTATAGCAATAATACAGAATACAACACTTTCAGGAGTTCTAGAACAATGAAAATACCTGAGGAAGTATTTTTCTCAAATCAGCTTTCTTGGTTAAATAGTAATATACCATTTTACAATGGTTAGTAGGGGGCAGGAAGCTCTGTTTCTTGTATTATACAAAATTATTTATTAGTTTAATGGGGTAAGATTGGGGAAAGTAAGTGTTTTCCATGTTGTCAAAGTTACTGGCAGCAGTGAATGCTTTACAGCAAGTACCAGCCTCCTGCAGCTAAGGAGGGCTGCGCAGAATCGCTCGGGGTTTTTTTTTTTTCTTTTCCTCCCCACTCAGTGGTGAGTGTTTCGTGTTGGGACCCTGATGCTGTCAGGCCCTGTGTAGAGAACTGGCTAGGGGAGGGACATAGTTGTTATTGGAAGGGGTGAGAAGTGTTGCCTGCGAACTGCTCAAAAACTGGTGTTTATCAGTTTTGACAATGTTACAGTGATTCCTGGAGTCATGGAAGAAGAGTCGACTTTTTGCAGGCTGTTTAGTTGTCTGTTTTAGGTGGCATTTTTTTATCAGTTAAGAGCTGCCTACTGAAGAGCCTTGATATGTGCTTTAGAATAATACACTGCAAACTGTGATACATGAAATTACTCACAAACCATAGCCTAGGCTCTGTTTTGCAAGGCAGTGCGTACTCCTCATTTAGAAGGGAAACTGTGGTTCCAGAGAAAGTGGGAAATGAATGGATAGCACAGCCAGTGTCCGTGTGAAACCAGTGCTTTTCATAGCACTTGGTCAGGTATTGGCTGTCACTGGACTGTGACTGCCTGTGGAAATGGAGTTGCTGGCAAAGAGAAGAAAACATAAACTGAGTAGTGCTGGGCATTGGAAACATGTCCCTCTCCCTTGCCCTGCCACTTTCCTTCCATGCTTCCCTGCCCTCGCCCCACCAAACAAAAGAGATCATAAGATTTATAGTGGGAACAACAGATTAAAGGGCAGTTGTCTTCACCTGATTTTTTTTTTTAATATTGCTTAATTGTTAAAGATACCGCTAAAGATTGAAAGTAGCATTTGGTTTTTGACCTAGAGAATGGGGTTTTAATGTAAACTGACCACTGTGCAGGTGATTTTGTTGTCTGCCTGTGCGGTATGGCTAGGCACATGGGATTACCCACATTGTGAAATTTGAAGACACTCTGGTTTCTTCTTCATGCCTTCTGTCCTGCCCTGTCTGGCTATAGTAGCCTCAGCCCCTGTTGATGGGGTCTATCCCACAAGTTGTTTTTGTTTTTCCTACAATGGGTCACAGTATATTGCTTCCTGCATTGTTCTGTGCATTTCCTTTTCTGTCTCTCCTATATGTTATCTCATCCTCTTCTCTAAGCCATATAGTATATTTCCACTCTTACTCTTTTCTCCTCATCTGCAATATTCCTCTTCTGCTCCTTTCCCTCTCCTCTTTTTCACCTCCTCCTCAACCCTTTTATCAGAGGTGTGGTAAGGCTTTTCTCAAGTCTGAGCTCTGTTTTGCTTTTGGAGGAATCATTTTATATAAAGAATTGTTTAGAATTATGAAATATACTACATCAAACTTGTAGGCAAGAATGAATTTTTTTATGTTCAAATGTGTGTATTTCAAATGTGTGTATTTCACCAAGTTTAAGTTATTTCTGAATATGCAAATCTGATTACAAGTTAGGAAGAAGAGGCAGCTGAATTTCAGTGTGAACCAGGTGGTACGATTTTGGGCCGGTACAGAACTGTCTTGCCTCATCTGAGATGTGGTTTTGTGCATCTTGCTAGTCCATTCTAATCAAAGTAAAACAGATTGCCTTCAGCCAATGCATCTTTAAGTTCTTAAGTGACAGTAACATATCAGCTTGGTATGCTCAAAAACATGTGTGAGACTGCTTTCCCGGACTAGTATTTCTTCTCACTTTTATCCCTAAGCTTTGGGGGTTTTGGTGAATGTTGTGATTCTGTGGTATCAGTCATGCTCATTAGGAGCTTGCAGATTTAACCAGAGGGATTGAAATGTTCAAGAATACCAGCTTGTCTGTTGCCATCTCTTGACTAACAGTTAACTTTGTAGCTTGAGGACCTGCTGTCATTTGATAAGGTAATTGTAACACTTAGCAGTAGTACTCAGTGACTGGCAGCAGGGCAATAGGAGTTTTTTCCAGCACTGAACCTAGATGCTCTTTCCTGGCTATGGGAGGCAAATGTGGTTTAAGTTGGGTGTGTTCAGGGAGAGGCTCTTCCTTCTGTCTCCAGCTCTCCACTGGAGTCTAAACACCATTTGCCTTACCAGTCTAGCCCTGCAGCTTGTTTCCAGCTTGCTGAATGTGGGACATTAAGAGTAGAGCTTCAAGCAAATCTGTAGTCTTGTGCTATGGTAATAAATGAAAAATAAAAATAAATTTAAAAAAAAAGTGTAACTGATAAAAGAGTAAGAGACAGGCTAGTGGTGGGGGGAAGGTGCAAGTTCCTTTAGTCTGAAATCTGGTATAAGTGTGTCTGTAGATGCACTTGCATAAAGGAACAGACAGATACCTGCAGATGCAGGGAGGCATGAGCTACACGTATGGAATTGCTGGCTGGAAGCTCAGGTTGACAGGATTCGGCTTCATACGCAGTATAGCAAGGTGGAAGTCAGCTCCAGTTCTGCTAGGAGAGACCCATTTTTGGTTGAAATTGTTATTCTAAATAAGCAATTGGAAATACATACTCAGGTGTGGTCAGCAGATAACTGCAAATTAATGGTTCAGCTTCAGCTCAGGGAGAGAGCTGACTTCTTTTTACTTCAGTTTTATACATTGCTTGGATCTAGTTATCTTACTAAGTTGAACTTTTTCTTTTTAATAGACCTAGTACATTATCTCTGTTTTAGAACTGGGAAATGGTGCTTATAGGAACTCCGAGTGTTGGGGTTATTGGCCTTGCAGCTGAAGTTCATTTCTCTGAAACTTGAAACAGTGCTCATGTTATTGAGAAAGTCGGGAATTTCTTGTATGGTGATTCTTAATGTAGTTACTCTGTTTTCAATATTTATTGATCGTACACATAGTCTGTTGAAAACTAAGGAAATTCCAGAAGCAAACCCAGTTCAGAAGGAATTACAGCTTACAGTGCAGTTTTAACTGCAAGTAGTCAGATGATAGGCTACCACCCAGCAGTTTTCAGTGAATACTGAGGTTACCTGCTGTTCTCTCAATGTTCCTCCATTCTCTCAATGGATAGAGAAGTGTTGCACATGTCTTGGTCTTCCTTCATAAGGAAGCCAAAACCTCTGGCTTTAAAAACAGACCTGTCCTGTCTCACTTGTGCTCATTAACTGAGCCATTTCCTTATGTAGCCATAATGGTAGTTTACGGTTTTCAAATACACACGATAGCTTCAGATGTGGTGGGTTGAAGTAGGAAGGAGATCCCTTGTGAAAATACATGATCCCTGCCATTAGGGCCTCCCCCTGCCCAAGTCCCCATTCCATACGGCTGTTAAAGCGAGAATAAAATGTGTCCTACAACCAAGCATGTAGCTGGGAGAGGAGAGGTGCTAAAGTTGCAGTGTTGCAACAAGCTTCCCCCCCACCCCAACCTTAACTGCTTTCAGTTAATGTCTGCTTCTGAAAAAAATATTTTTTAATATCACAACAATATTTTCAGTCTCTACCGCCAACCACAGACCCACTTCAGGAGGCGAGAAATCTTGTCAGATACTAGGGAGTCTTTGTTTATTTTTATTTGGGAATGCAATGACAGTTCTTAATTCCAGTCACTTTAAATTAAGTCAGTTTAAAGTGGTAATGGAGAACCAACCTCCTCATTTATCTTTGATCGTACTCTGAAGCGGTCCCAAGTACTACAACAGCCTTCTGCTACTTGTTTAGAGCTGTTAAAAATGCAGGAAATGGCGCGGCGGGGGGGAGATGCTTACATTTTTTACTAGCAACTGCCTTGTTCTTGAAAGTCATCTACATTTTTTTGTTTATTAGTAGTATTGTTCGTGTGTAGGATCAGGCAAATACATCTGTTTGAGTTGGCTCCAATTAGAAATATAATGTGAGGAAGCTGATGGAGTACAAAGAAATAAGACCACGTTGATCAGTGTATGTGATTTTGGTGCATAGGTAATGTAGCTAATGTCAAGTTTGTTTGTATGTGTCATGATAAAGCAGAGTGTTGGATAGAAAGTTTTTCCTAATGTAGGAAAAGGTGGGAACGTGCTTCCTTGAAAGCTTACCCAGTAAGTGGTGGAGCCTACTGCTGCTGATCAATTAGCAGTTGAAGTCAGCATCTTGATTCAGCCCGCGACACAGCAGGGTTAGAATGTAACTTTTTTTGAAAGGAAAACCAAGGTTATCCCCATAATGCAGAGAGAAATATCTGAAATACGTATACTTCTTTCCTCAGTAGCATGGTTCAACTGGGAAGTTAAACGTCCTTTGGAGAAGCATTCTGCATAGATGTGACCAGGATAAGTCTGTGTGGGGTTTTTTTTTGTTTTGTTTTGTTCTAGGCCGGAGAAGGATGTTGAAATAATAAAAGTGCAATATGGTAAAAGTCTACCTGAGTTTGTCAGTTATTTTGCAGAACAAATCAATGAGGCTTATCCAAACTGTGGGT